TATTGAGGCATCATTCCCCAAAATTGCCACAAGATGGCAGCACAGACCGACACTTGGAACACATGGAACCACTTACTGGCTTGGCAGAGAAGTTAGTTCAGTTTTTACCATCAGGTGCCATGACAGGCACACTTTTCCTTTTCCCCAAAAAACGTGACTGAACAACGACTGGACAATGCAGTCACCACTTTGTTCCACTGCCTCCTGCCACCTTTCAGGCAACTTCACCATTCATTCCATCATCCCACAGCATTGTTCTTTCGGAGCAGAGAACTCTTCCAGGTGCCTTCTGCAGTCTTCCAGGGAATGGAAGTCTCTCTCCACTAAGAGAAATTCGGAAAGACTGAACTAAATGGTCATGCACCTTCTGCGTCTTCTGCTGACAAATTCTGAACGTTTTCCCACAGGCAGCTTTCAGTTGCTGTGATGGGAAAAACCTGCTAGTTTCTGCAAGGAGCTCCCACTGCACAACACCCTTGGGAATCCACCACATACACAACATCACCTCCTTTGGATGAAGACCACCCTTTGGAGGGGCTGCTGGTGGTGGTTCCTTTCTTTCCCTCAACTCTCCCATTCTATGTTACTCTAACATATCAACGGTTTGTCCCCCCTCAAAATTTGTCTTGGAAGCAGAATGTTTTCCTTAGGTTTCAGTGGAGAATGGTTTGTACAAATGCAGTCAAAAAGGGCCCCCAGCACCCCATTTCACTTCTGTGGAAGACAGCATCAAAGCGATGAACGTCACCGTGCTGGTGCAAAGAATTCTTGATGCTCGATCTGGACCCATTGAGTAGGTCACCTGTCTCCCACGTGCCATTACGTGGTCTGTCCTCAGTGAATGTCTCCCCTCCATGGCTCTCCGCTGCCACAGGTCTGCCTACCCGAGCAGCAACTGCGTGTGAGAAATCTCCATCATGAAACTTCACAATCCACTTTGGACACATTCCATCACTCACAGCAACATCTCCACACGCACCACAAACCTTTTGTTGCCCTGCAGTTGTGCTTGTACCTTTCTTGAAATGACAAAGCCAAATGGGCTGAAAATGTTGCTTATGTTCATGCACCTTCAGTGGGAAAAGGACCACACACACATTCACCACTTGTGATGAGATTTTTTATCTCCCAAAACCTCTAAGACACAGGGAGTAAGGTAAGAGGGTCGACAAGCTCTTGCTAGAAAGTCTTACTGTCTAAAGCTGAGGTGATTGTGCTGAAGCTCTCTTCCTAAACCCAGTTTTGGAAACTAAATCTCTCAGGAATAAATGAGATGTCAATCCTGAGTAATTTCCCAGTCTCCCCTTTCTTAACAGCCTGTTTAAAATCAACGTGCCAAGTATAAAATGTTGGGCCTCTTCATTACCGCCTCTGAAACTTTACATAAAAGTTTTATAGCAACAAGCTACATTAGTACATTGTTCCATACTTCATTGACATAATCCTTCAGTTATGAGAATAAGTTACTTCAGTTAAATTGTTAAATCTTACTTAAGTAAATGGTTATGAACATGTACTCCACAAATTCACCTGCTATTAAATATCTGACTGTTTGCTTAAGTGGTGGAGAAATGATCCTTCCTCTAGCCTCAACAATCTTTGGGCTGGTCTAATAATCCAACAGGTATAAAACAGATTAGCAAATAAAACAACCTATTTTGAGATATGCACAGGCATGGGAACCTCACTCGCATGAGAGAGACAGGAACCCCACGTGCAGAAAAGCATTAGACATAGAACGGAAACGTGGGCACATACAATGTACTGAGGCTGTGATGGCGCTAGGCTCAGAGGGGCTTCAAAGTGACCTCGCAAAATGATACGAGCAGATGTTACGAAAAAGGTGCTGTTCCCAATATGTCCACAAGGCGGCGACAAAAGTAGCATTTCCTGCTGGCCTCAACTCAGATGCTATCCCAAAAATGCTCACTAGATGGCGGTGTGTATTAGAGTGTAAAAAAGGGGTCCTGACAAGTCAGTCTTGGGTCCTCTGACTGCTGGGAGAAGTACTATTTCCTAAGAGAGGATGGAGCCCCATAACAGGAGCTCTGGGTCCTCACCAGAGAGCATAAGAGGTCGTGTCAAGTCAGCTCTGGGTCTTACAAGCAAGGAGAGGGGTCCCACCTGAGAGTGTAAGGGTCCTGTGACCTCAGGCCTGGGCCACTTGAGTGTGGAGAGGACCACAGGAGAGATGGGAGTGTCCTGTCACTGCACACCTGTGTCCTGTGAGGGTTGAGAAAGGCCCCTCCCTCTGAAATGCAAGTGTCCTGACCCTTCACCTTTGATCCCGGTGATTGTGGGGAGAGGTCTGACTTGAGAGAGCAGGGGCCCTGTCACTTCAGCTGTGGGTCCTGGAAGCCTGAAGACAGCCCCCCTCCAAGAGCACAGGGCTCGGCCACACTGGCCCTGTGACTTCGGGGAACATCCCCGCCTGTGGGTGTGACGGGTCCTGTCCCATCGCCTGTGCACTGTGGGTGCGGGAATAGGGGCTTTGCAGAGAGAGCTGGGGGTGTTGTCACTTCAGCCCTGGGTCCCAGAATTGCAGGAAGAAAACCTCACCAGGAAGAGGAAGCTGTGGTTCCGAGTCAGCACTGGGTGCTGTGAGCAGGAGAAGAGGCCCCACCCGAGAGGACACCTGGTCTTCTGACATCAGCCAGGGTCCCAGAGAGTGTGTGGGGTCCAACATGGGATAGTCTGGGGTGCTGTCTCATCACCTTGGGGTCCTGTGAATGTGGGGTGGGCCCCTCACTGAGAAAGTAGGGGGCCCTGCCATCTGAACTCTGGGTCCTGAGTGTGTGGGAAGGTGCCTCTCCCTGCGAGGAGTGGGGTCCTGTCACAGTGAAGAGGGCCCCGACCTGGGAAAGACAGGCGTCCTGCCTGACAGCCGAGACCCGTGGACATGGGAAGGGCTCCCACCCTACAGAGTAGGGAGCCCGTCACACAGGCTCTGTCCCTGTGCGTCTGGAAACCTGTCCCACCAGGGAGAAGAGCGGTTCCCGTCTCCTTGGCTCTGGGGCCCCCGAGTGTGTGCAGGGTCCCTCCCAGGGAGCGCAGGGGGTCCTGTCACATCAGCTCTGGATGCTGTGACATGGGGGCCGGGTCACACTGGAGACAGTAGAGGGCACGACAGCTGCAGCTTTTGCTCCTGTGGCTGTAAGAAGGTGTCGGTCCTACCAGAGAGTGAGGAGCCGTGTTGCTTCAGAACAGGGTCTTATTGGTATGGCCAGGGGTCCCTCCTAAGAGAACAGCAAGGCCTGTGACACCAGGTCTGGGCCCTGTGCGTGACTGGGGAGCCCACCTGGGAGAGTGGGGTCCTGTGGTCACAGCTTGCATCGTCCGAGTGCTGGGAGGGGGGGTCTCATCAGAGAGAACAGGGGTGGTGTCACATCCGCTCCAGTTAAGGGGGTTCAGGGAGCCTGGGGCGGGGTTTCACCCAGAGAGAGTAGCGGTCCCGTGACATCAGGTCGGGGCCTATGAGTATGCAAAGGGGCCCGGCTGCCAGAGTAAGGGGTCGAGTCACTTCAGCTCTGGGTTCTGTGGTTATGGACAGGGGTCCCTCTCTGGGAGAACAGGGGTCTTGTCACATTAGTTTGGGGAAAGGTCCCCCCAGTGGCAGTAGTGGGCCCTGTCACGTGAGCTTTGCGTCCAACCACGATGGGCATGTAAGACCTGCTGAGCTGGGGATGGTGTGAGGTGCCCTGGAGATTCCAAGCGTCCTCGCAAAACGGTCCTAGCAGCTGCTGAGTAAATAGGTGCCATCCCCAGGGTGTGCACTAGATGGCAGCAGAGCAGAGCATTTCCAGGCAGTGGGCGGCTGAGAGCCAGCAGGTCCACTCTGCCAGCACAGAGGGACCTGTCCCATCAGCTCTGGGTTCTCTGAGTGTGAGGAGGGGTCTCACCCGAGAGAATATGGAGCCCTGACACCACCTCATATCTGAGCCCTGTGATTGGGGGAGGGGCTCCCCCTGAGAGAGCAGGGGTCCTGTCACATCGGTTCATGGGACTGTGTAGAGGGGATAAGCCTGAGAGACTGGGGGGTGCCGGGATGTCAGCGCTGAGTCCTGTGAGTGAGAGTGGGGGGATCCAGTTACTGCTGCTCTGAGTCCTGTTAAAGAAGAAGAAAAAACAAGAGCAGGGTGCACCTGCAGGGAGAAAATAACAACGACCATTCATCAGTGCCCTGTAGCCATAACAGCACTGTAACAAAAAGGCCCACTCCCACCCTCTGTCCCGAATAGAAAGCCTGGGCACTCACACACAGGCACGACTCTGGTTCTGATCCCCACAGTTACTGCCCTCACGACGGCTGAGTAAATCTTATTCTCATTTAAAAAAGAAGACAGAATCAGTTTGACTCATAGATTCAGCAAATCTAATCTGTATAAACATATGAAGTATAAGATGTAGTCCACAACTGCTGCTCATCTTATTCTACATAGAACCACATGCAGGGTAGGGCAGCAGTAGGTTTGTATGGGAAATTGTACAATGATTCATAAATAATGCAAGAATAAATTCTCTGTTTTGAACACTCACAACTGTAAACCTACATTTTCCCCACCCTGTATGTTCATGACAGTGAATTTCATCACTTAATAAACATTGACTAATTATTGTGAGCAGATCATTCCACATAGTTCTTGTATGTTCTATTGATAATACAAAGTCCAAATTCTTTGTCAGGAGCCAGCTGGCCAACCTGAGTAAATTACTATTAAGAAGTTGGGATCCCTTTCACCCCAAGGAAGGATGTTGTTGTTCAGGAGAATGTAACTACCATGTTTTCCAGGGCCTTCACAAAACCCCGGATATGTGGCCTTCAGGCCAGCCATCTGTGATTTCATGTTGCTGGAGCCATCATTGTCTGACTTTGGGGGTGCATCTTTCTATAAGTTTGCTGTGGCTGAACCGATAAAACAGGTGTATGCAGATTTCTGCAGAAGTTATGATTCCATGAAAGATCTTGAGATGAGGAAGGCTGGTGTCTTCCTGAGTGCACCATGGTCTTCGAATGTAAAGAACTTCTGTGGGTTGTCTTCCATGGAGGTAAGTCGTATTGCACTTCCACGGTTTCTCTCTGGCTGAGTTGCTGGGAGGTCAATTTCTGCTGGGAGGCACCAGTACATCTTCCTGGGGGTGCCTGTGGTTGACACTTTTTCCTGTAATTGACCCAGGGTGGTGCTACGTGAGAGCACTCCCTCTCACCCACCAACTCCACTTTGGTGAGGTTCCCCTTTATGCAATTTCACATTAATAATTACAGTTAGTTGGCTTATTTCTGACCCATGGAAATGAAGTTATCTTTTTGTGCTAAAAATGAGGTGAGGGCCTGAAACCCTATTTCCATTTTTTCCTGTAAAAGCCAGTGGCAGCTACACTGACCCTGAACCCCCGTCCTCAGATTAGGTGCCTTATATTTGTGCAAAATACTTGTAGGTTTTCTCAGGGTGTTTTGTTTGTTTTCATTTCTGTTTGCTTATATCTTGTCTCCTTATTTCTGAAGCCTTTGTAGACCTGACAAAGCTACTTCAACAAACCTATTACTCGTATCACCACTTCTCCCCATGGCTTTTCTGGTATACTTATTACTCCATGTGTTCAGTCTTTCAGCCCTCTGGGACTTCTTTTGTGTCTAGGAATTGCGTGGTCAGGATTTACTGACAAGTTTCCCAGAATGCAGTGCAGTCTTGACCGCGCCCTCGCTGGTTATGCAGCTGTTTTTGAAAGTGGGTTTCACAAGGGAGGGCGTGGAGGGGTCTAGACGAAAGGGGTTTGACGAAAGACGGAGGGGTTTGTCTGGTGCAACAAAGACACTTTGTCAGGCAGCAGGAGGGCCACATCCACCCTAAAGACCTGCCCGGGCTCGGAGTTCCCAGCTCCCGCGGGTCGGGTCCCTCACCAGCCGCTGGAAAACTAGCCACGGCAACCGCCAAGGTGGTCCTCGCTGCAGGATGTGTGACAGGCGCTCGGGAGACCCACAGTAGCCAATCCACACGGGGTGGGGCGGGTCTTCCGCTGGCCCGCTCGCACGCCAGGGGGATCCGCCCCCCGTCCTGCCCTTTCAACTTCTTCTGGCCGCCCATTGGCGGGCAGAGCACGGGGATCGCAGCACTGATTGGCGGGTTGCTCCCACGCGGCTATCCGGGCAGGAACCTCGCCTCGGGCACCCTCACTCCTGCCGAGGGCGGGAAGCCCAGGAGACCGGAGAGCACCCTCCGCCGCGGTGGGCAGCGCGGCAGAGGACCTGGGAGACGCACCGGTAAGCGGGGGGCCCTGCCTGTGGAACCCTCAGCCCGAGACCTCCCAAACCAGCCAGAGAGACCCCAGATGCCCTCATCCCGAGGGGCCCAAACCCCTTCAGCATCGAGGGGCGCGTCCGCTAACCCGGAGGACCCCACGTCTCCTGACCCCCAACCCTCAGACCCCCAAACAGCCTGGAACCCCAGTTCCCCTCAGCTCGGGGCGCCCTTCCTGCAGCTCGCCCACCCGGAAAGACCAAATCTCCCCAAACGCAGAGACCCCCGAATGCCGTCGTCCTGGAAACCGACTCAGTGGAGGGGACCCGGACGGCCCCTCGTGAGACGCCCCAACCCCCCTCAGCCGCGGCGGTCTGGCCCTCTCCCCACCGGGACGCTGAGTGTCCTCCGCCCGGAAGACGCAGATGGAGTCCTGAGGGACCCCGGGCCTCTCAGCCCGAGAGACGGCGGAGTGCCGGACACTGCGCGGGCTTCTCCGGACCCCGGGGGCTCCTCCGGGCCCTTCCCCGGGAGAAGAGCGTTTCCTGCGCCGCCACAGGCCCGCCAGCGGGGTCCCTCAGACGCCCGGCCGGGTCTGCGGAGCCCGCGCTGAGGCGGCACGTGGGACAGAGTGGGCAGGGCAAGAGCGCCCCCCCCTCAGGCGGGTCTGCGGCTGCGCGGCCCCGCCCTGTCCAGCCCCTCTTCCACCAGGGCCCGAGTCCCCCTCTCTGGGCGCCCTGCCAACGGGGAGAAAGGCCGGCACTGGAGTGTGAAGTGGGACTCGGACGCGCTCACCAGCCCAGGTAGCACAGGCGGCCGGCCGGGCCGGAGGAGCATGGAGACCCGGCAGGCGCTGGGCTGGCTCCGACTCTGGCGGCCCCCATGCACCTGCAGCTCCCTCCGGCATGGACACCGGTGGGGGGAGTTTGCTCCTTTGTGTCAGAGCGGGGCTGGCGCTGACGGTGCGGGGCTCACGGCAACTCGCTGTAGACTCTCCCGTCCCATCGGAGCCAGTCCCACGGGCTTCCTGGGCTTGTCCCTCCCCCACGCTCTCTGCCTCAGGACAGAGGTCTTGTCTCTTTCCAGGTCTCAGGGTCTCTCGACCGGACTTTCCTGGGTCACCGCCGCAGGCAGGCGGGCCACCGAGCTCCAGGAGGAGGACCCTGAGGACTCCGATGAAGAGCGGGCCCCGAGGCAGCAAGGTGAGCGGCGGGAGGAGCCAGCGCTGCCCTCCCGGCTCGGACCTGGTGTGGGTCGGGCGGCGTCTCAGGACGTCACCAGGGAACAGGTTTGCTGGTGCAGCGGACAAGCAAGATGCACAACAGTGTGTCGCACAGTGAGGGGCTGTTCCCGTCAACTTTCACGTGGGCGACGTAATCGTCTATATTTATAGACGCATTAGTAAGCAGTGAATGTGTAAGAACATAAAGTGAGCGAGAAGTAGCTAATTCAGAAGAGTCGTCAGCACAAGGGAGGGGGCGGGTCTGGTGGGTGAGGAGGGTCCCCACACCTGGCTGCGCGGTGGCCCGCATGGAGACAAACAGGAAACGGGAAACGGTATTGATATGGTGATGACGGGAGCTGGGGGGAGGGCCAGGGTCGGGAGGGGTTGACCTCCGTGTGGTTTCCTGATGTCGGCCCCATGTTCTGTCCAGTATCGTGAGTGTTCGGAGGGTGGGGTCGGTCCACTTTCATGGGTCTGGGGTTGACACACGGCTGAACTCAAGATGTGATCTTCAACTTCACTGGGATTCTGCTTCTGTGGTCAGCAGACTGTGGGTGCTGACCAGAGGCTAATGACTGAGGAAGGGCGTGGGTGGCCGGTATGTGCCCAGGGGGGAGGATACCAGAGAAAGGAGGCCGGGTGGTCGAGGTGCCCTCAGCCGGGACAAGGCCAGTTTGAATGAAGACAACAGGACGGAGAAAGGGTTATATGGAAGACATGGAGTTTCTGTGCAGTTACTTGTATTACATTTTTGTCAGGAGAGGCCAATTTATTCTTTAATAAATGTAATAGATGCTTTATGAACATAAGGTGAAGCGTAGATGACACTTTTTTTAAAACATTCTAATGAAATTAGTGGATGGCCCCAATAGAAGCCGAGGCCTTAATGATACCTCAGAAACATTTTCCAATCATCCTGCGATTGTTCTTGGACTACTCTCATTCAGAATTCTGTGTCCCTAATAAGAATCTCCAGGTTTTGGAAACATTTACCAATCAAAACATTGATTTCTCATCATCTTTCAGTCACACCTTCTTGGGTGGCCTTCAGAAGGAAGCAGAGTAAACACCAGAAAGTGAGTATTTCCCAAATCCTGTTGACAACAAAATTTTCCTCATGGAGAGAAATGCAGGTAACAGCAGAAAAATGCAGAAAGCATCCTAGGAACTGCCACCTTCCTTTCCTGGTCTCTTCAACACATTGTCCAACATTATCTTTTTTAAAGATTTTATTTATCGATTTTTTAGAGAGAGGGGAATGGAGGGAGAAAGAGAGGGAGAAAAACATGGATAGGTTGCCTCTCCCACACCTCCAAGTGGGGGACCTGGTCCAAAGCCCAGGCATGTGCCCTGACGGGGAATGGAACTGGTGACCTTTCAGTCTGCGGGCCAGCACTCAATCCACTGAGCCACACCAGCCAGGGCTCATCATCATCTTAATGGTTAACAACTACAGCAACAATAGTAACTACCATTTGTTTCATTCTCACACTGTTTCAGACTTTAAGAGTTCTATGTGAATAAACTCCCTTAAACATTACAACAAGCCAATGAGGTACGTACTATAACTCACCATTTATGATGAGGGAAGGGAGCTTTCAGAGATATAGAAATGTTTGATTACGTGTCTAAGATCACAATATGAGTGATAGTGCAACTAACCCATAGTTGCTTCTCTAAACCACTTACAAACTCATTAAAACTTTCATGGTTTTACCCTGGACACCATGACTCAGTTGGGTGTCATCCTACAAAGCGAAAGATCGCCAGTTTGATTCCTGGTCGGGGCGCATGCCTAGTTTGTGGGCCAGGTTTCCAGTTGCCATGTGTGTGAGAGGCGAGTGATCAATGTTTCTCTCCCTCTTTTTCTCCCTCTCTTCCCCTACCTCAAAAAGATAAAGTCTTTTTTAAAAACTAGAAAAATTAACTTTAGTAGTTTTCTGAAGTTTGCATTGTCTTATCCATATGTCATTACATCGTTCATCTGACTGATGATTTTAACCAAATTTCTTCTCTGCTGTGCTGAAGTGAGAGATGCACTAAGACCCGCCGACTAAGGAAAGCGTACATTGTATAGGCAGTTTGTACAGTGGATGGTCCCAAGTGAAGAAATATACAAAATGTACAGGATCACAGCCTCCTATTCTAATCAAAGAGCATCTACCACCCCTGAGTAGCTTCAGGTTTCATGATTGAGAAACAACAAATAATAAAATGACTTAAGGAGTTCATGTAGGTTATACACTCTTCAATAGAAACTCGTCTGTCTGGAACTGATTTCAAATGCCATTTCTTATAAGGTGAGGTAACAGCTTCTTTCTATGAGTTCCAATGAGCCCACTCTCATCCTGTTCAGAATCATTTGTTCAGCCCGCCTACCTCTGTGTTGTGAGCTCTTTGAGAGGCTGTTGCATATCTGAGTCTTCTCAAGGGTCGCAGACCCAGATCAGGGGCCCTGAATGTTTGCTGAATGAGTAATTTCACAGTTACAAATTAAACTACAGGATGATCAATGAATGCTGAAGGTGATTTCTGTGAGATTTGAAATATGGAGAGAGCTGAGAGGTAAATTGATAGCAGGACTGTAATCTCACATTCATACTGTCACACAATTCACAGAACACTGGTCAGCATTATTTAATGTCACGTTCACTAGAACATTCAAAATTAGCATGTTACAGATCATGAAACTGAAGAACACTAGCTACCAATATGGGCTTATTCAAACAATCGGTGGGAACCAGCTAATCTAAGTACAAATATTCTTTCTAAGGTATTGCAGATTTTATCACCATTTTATTGTGTAGATATGTTTCTGCCAACTATTTCCTTATTTTCTTCCCAATATCCTTCACTCTCAATATTATACAGACAGTTGAAAGAAAAGAGCCATAAAGCATGAGTTCTATTCTTGGATTCATTACCCACATTGGCCCTATCCCCTATTCATACTCCCTAGATATTTTGAAGGGGTGAGGTATTAAAGACATGCATGTAAAATGTATCATAAGCCTTAAAAAATTAAACACATGTTATCTTTTAATATGTGGTGCTTACATTGAAGGCAACATCCAGGGTGCCATTAGGCAAGGAATATAGTTTGAAGGAATTGTCAGGAACAGAAAATTGGATGACTGCAAGTGACTCAGAGCATGCCCAGAAACCAGTGTCCACTCTTGGAGGAGCATGTGCCTTTGGAAAGCACACTAGACAAAAATCGGGTAAGAAGAAATAATTTGGAAATTTAGTTCTTCTAAGTCCTATAGAAGGGCTGATAAGTATGACTTAGGTATGTGAGGTGGAGTTTGGATGGGCCTGGATTTAAGCTGGGCTAACCTGAGACTATAGTTAGCACTGGAGCTTTAGGCAAATCCTATACATTCTCTGAGCTCCCGAATGCTAATGTGTAAAGTGAAGATAAGGAAACACCACTCATACATTATTTGAAAACATTAAACTAACTTTAAAACAATCGACACATGCAACTTGTCCAATAAATCCACTGTGATAATGGTAACCACACTTTATTGGTGTTGTGTGCCCAGGCCTTTACTCAATGCCTAACACATAAAGTGTACCCAATAAAAAGTTTATGAATAATTACAGGTTGGCAAATTAAACCTGGTAATGGGAAAATCTAGAAGCTAAAATTGAATCAGTCATCTGTAGTTAGTGTGGAGTCTTCATCTTCTGAACCAATAGTTGACAGTAAAATACCAGAATATGCAGAAGGACAGGTAATAAATTGATGGGAGGAGATTGTGTGTTATATGACAAAATGGGAACTAAGACTGCAGACCCTACCAGCCTCGCTCACCTGGCCTTCCTCCAACTTAGAACTCAGGACAAACGAGATGGACGTGAAGATGTACAGCCTACAGGAAAGAAAGGGCCATGTGTACCAAGAGGTCAACGATCCCCAGGATGATAACTACCTTTGTAAGTGACCCTCAGTGAGAAACATGTTAAGATACAATAATTTCATCTGGTCCTTTGCTCCCCAAATCATTCCCTTCCTCTGGTGACATAGAGTACAGGATAGAGTCTCAATGATGTCAGTGCTGGACTTTCTCTGAAGTTCTTTGTGTCCAGGAACATACATTATACCTTCCCTAACCCCTGTTGCTCTTGTCTCCAGATTGTGAGAAGTGTCAGAACTTCTTCATTGACAGCTGTGCTGTGCATGGACCCCCTACATTTGTAAAGGACAGTGCAGTGGACAAGGGGCATCCCCACCGCTCAGCCCTCACCCTGCCCCCTGGGTTGAGAATCAGGCCATCGGGCATCCCTGAGGCTCGGCTTGGAGTGTGGAATGAGGCAGCTGACTTGCCAGTGGGTCTGCACTTTGGCCCTTATGAAGGACACATCACAGAAGATGGAGAGGCAGCCAAGAGCAGATACTCCTGGCTGGTGAGAACTATTTACCTCTTCCACTGTCCTCTGGCTTCCCACATGCCTTCTGAGGCTTGGAGGGACCTCACTTCTTATGTGCTAGATATGGAGGGGACAATATGATTAGCTCTGTGTACTGAGCGGACTTCACATGAACACAGAGCTCCTGTTTAAGGATCAGAAGGTAAGCAGGAACAAAGTGGTACAGACACAAAAGAGTGGCTCTCCCACTCTGATTGGACAGGTAGACTCAGATGTGTAGATGATGACTAAGAAAAATATCATGTGACAACTGGCAGTTGAATCCCCATGCACGCTGGAAGAGCTTTAATGACAATAGAGTAAAGGAATTCTTCTGACTGTTACCTACCCACAAGAAAAATAAAAGGTCTTTAACTTCTTTTCTGAAACACAGATCGCCAAAGGGAGAAACTGCTATGAGTATGTGGATGGAAAGGACAGGTCCTGGGCCAACTGGATGAGGTGAGGTCAACAGGTCTCTGGGTGCCAGAGGAGACTGTCATCCCCCACAAACCCATATATCTTTCCCTCTCGTCATGCCTCCGTCAGTGGTCTCCCTTCATCCTTATTTTCTCTTTTTCTCCATACACTGTTCTTTCATTTCAGGGGACATTTAGGAAAAAAGGATAGCATGTGTCCTCAAAATATAAAGCTCTCTGCTAGACACACTTGGGCACTGGAAAGGACCTTGAAGAGCCTAGATTCCCCAGGGACACTGGATTAGACTTTAATTTATGAAATGAGCATTAATTAAGCACTTACTATATTCCAGCTTAGATGCAGGAATACATTACTTAAACAGATCACACAACCCATGTCCGTATGAGGGACTTCTTGCAGACAGACATTAAAAAAACGCTTTTAGAAGCATTTAACTATAATTTCCAAGAGGTGCACAGTGTCAAGATACCACAAAGCAAGGATGGCCTAAACCTGTGAGGGCAGCACACCATCCCAGCCTCACTTCTAACTAGAGCTGGGCTCTGAGGCCTGCAGAGAAATGGTCATGGGCCCCTTTCCTGAGAGGGGCTCTCTTTTATCAGGGATAACAGGATGTGAATCAACTACTATTGTTCTGTTTTATTTTACTAAGACGAAAGGACCTTCAATTTTCTATGGTAACCGTGGGACAGGCAAGTGAAAGGTACCCTAAATAAAGTGTATGAGGGTTGGACAAAGGACTCTCAAAAGAAAATAGATGTGGGCTGAGTACTGGATAATTAGTGAGCTGATTTTGAAGCAGAGCCCTAGATCAAGCACCAGGCTCTGTGGTGTGAGACAACTCAATTTAGAGTTTGTAAAAGCCAGAGATCACTGGATATTACGGCCAATCAGGGTGGAGGTTAAGTCTACAACTCTGTTTTAGAAAATGGTATTAGGCAGCATTCGCACTGCAAGCAGGACTTGGAGATAGGAATTCACATGACATGCTATCAGATGCTCAGACACTGAACAGAAGGTTCCCCAGGAGCATTAGGGGCGAGGAGTTGGACATGGATGTAACAGGTAGAGGAACCTCATCACTGTGGTTTTCTTTCCCTTCCTCTGCCTCAATCCCAGGTATGTGAACTGTGCCCGGGATGATGAAGAGCAGAACATGGTGGCCTTTCAATACCACAGGCAGATTTTCTACCGAACCTGCCGGGTCATCAGGCCGGGCTGTGAGCTGCTGGTCTGGTTCGGGGATGAGTATGGCCAGGAGCTGGGCAGCAAGTGGGGCAGCAAGTGGAAGACAGAGCTTGCAGCCAGGAGAGGTGGGCACCACTGTTCTTCAAAACAAAAAGAAAGAGAATTCTCCATAGAAATATTCATGATCCAGCTCCTGAGTAGAGTAAAATCCACTCTAAAGTCAGTAAATTTTCAACTCAGATGCTTCAGAAATTCACAATTCATTCATATGCCTTTGACTCTTAGGCAAAATTTTTATATTATTTTTAAAATATTTCATGAACAAGCCCTGGCTGGCATAGCTCAGTGGATTGAATGCGGGCTGCGAACCAAAGTGTCGCAGGTTCGATTCCCAGTCAGGGTACATGCCTGGGTTGCAGGCCATGACCCCAGCAACCGCACATTGATGTTTCTCTCTCTCTCTTTCTCCCTCCCGTCCCTCTCTAAAAATAAATAACATCTTAAAAAAAATTTCATGAACAAAATACACAACTGCATATAGTACTGAAAGACTGAGGGGCAAAAAAAAGTTTTCAAGTACTAACCAGTTCTCTCACCAAGGCAGTATTCCTGACACTTTTATAGCTGTTTCTTGTTAATTTTCCTCCATACTTCTAAATAAAATGTTTTTGTTTATAGGCATTCATTATTTTTTGAAGATTTTGCCCTGGCTGGTGTGGCTCAGAGTATTGAGCACCAGCCTGTGAACCAAAGGACTACCAGTTTGTTTCCCAGTTGGGGCGCATGCCTGGGTTGCGGGCCAGGTCCCCAGTAAGGGGCATGTGAGAGGCATCCACACATTGATATTTCTCTCCCTCTCCCACCCTCCCTTCCCCCTTTTCTGAAAATAAATAAATACCTAAATCAAATCTTTTTAAACAGGCTTTTATTTATTTTTACAGAGAGTGGAAAGGTGGGAGAAAGAAAAACCAATGTGCAAGGGAAACATTAATTGGTTGTCTGTGGCATGCCCCCAACCCTGGCATGTGCCCTGACTAAGAATGGAACTTGTAACCTTTCAGTTTTCAGACAACACCCAAACCACCAAGCCACACCATTCAGTCAGGGCACATTTGTTCACCATTTCAGTGAATTGTTGGGCAAAATCCTCCTCTGTGGCCCACATGGTCCTGGGGCCTGGAAATACAGATTAACATGAGGATGAGAATCACTGTTTTGAGGAGCTGACCAATAAAGGAGGGAAACCCAGGCACACGTGCTTGCATGTGCATAACACCACACAGTGGTTAGTGCTTTGGAGAAAACTAATCCAAGACAAGTGCCAAGGGATCAGTGTGAGGGGAGGTGCGGTGTGGCACGTGGTCCAGGAAGGGCTCCTCAGGAGATAGCATTTATAAAAATACCTGCAGGCAGAGGGAGCAGGTAGTACAGGGAAGAAAAGAAGTGAGGCGTTGAATTGGCTGAGGGTCATTCAGGTCTCATCTCAGCCTAGAGGGTAAGAATAGAGATCAGACGGATGCTTAGCAGCCCAGAAATGTAGTGCTGATGATGAGAGTTGAGACACTGGGGACTTTCCTGAGTGCAAGTGTGCAGTCGTCAGCTGTAGAGTAGCCTGTTCTCTGTTCTGATCATGCTTTGTTAATTTTTAGAAAATAAACTCCAGTGGGGAATTCCCTCAGAGATTATTTCATCTCCAAGTGAGGAAGCATGGTGGATTGGCCAGAGGAACAGGAGTCAGGTGTGTAAGACGTGTGGTTGGAGAAATATTTTTAAACAGGACTTACCAGGATATTTGAAATGGACTAACACTGAATGAAATGAAGCACAAATATTTGGTGTGAGGCCTGAGGAATGACTTCTGTTTTAAGATTTTATTTATTTTTAGAGAGGAAGAGGAAGAAAAACAGGGAAACAGCAATGCATGATTGCCTCTCACACGCCCCCTACTGGGGGCCTTACCCACAACCCAGTCACGTGCCCTGACTGGGAATCTAGCCTGTGAGTCCTTCCTCCACAGCAGGCACTCAATCCACTGAGCCACACAAGCAAGAGCAGGAAAGATACTATTTTATAGTTTTGAAAAACTGAAAGAGAAGCAATTCCTAGTTTTCCTCTTTAACATGACTTAGAGGACACCTGTAGAGGGGAAAGGTCACTGTAGTTCAGGGAGTGAAATTGCCTCTCCTGCTACTCGAAAGTCCCTAGTCTGAGCAATGTTAGCAAAGACCCTTGACGTGGGCTTCCTGGGTTTCTGAAGAAGATGCACTGCATCAAAATACAAAGGAAAATAGACTGGGAGTGGACACATTGTGGGAGACAGAACTTGCCATGTCACCACAATAAGAAGGATTCATGGGGCAGGTCTTCCCAGGAGACAAGTACAGCCCAGGCATTCTCATCAACATCTGCCCTTACCAAACCTTTCTCTTTCAGCAGAACCAAAGCCAGAGGTGCACCCATGTCCCTCCTGCTCTCTGGCCTTCTCCAGTCAGAAATTCCTCAGCCAGCACGTGAAACTCAATCATCCCTCTCAGATTCTCCCAGGAACATCTGCAAGAAAACACCTCCAAGCAGAGGACCCCTGTCCAGAGGATCAGAATCAGCAGCAGCAACGTACTTGTACACACAGCTGGAATGATAAGGCTAAATGTCAAGAGCTCAAAGAAAGATCCAAAGCTTTGCTTAAAAGGATCAGTCACAAGAGACTCTCAAGACCCTTTTTCCAACCTTCCAAAGAACAAATGACAAGTTCTAGTGAGCATGAGAGAATGATGGAGGAAGAGCCCTGCAGAGGCCAGGAAGAGAGTCCAGAGGACACAGGCAAGTTATTTGTGAAAGCAGGAATGTCAAAAATTTTACGAATCCAGCACGGTGGGTGCTGGCAAGGCTTCAATGATGGGTCACATCTCATCCCACACCAGAGAACACAGTCTGGAGAGAAGCCCTATGTTTGCAGGGAGTGTGGGCGAGGCTTTACATCGAAGTCATGTCTCACCAGACACCAGAGGACACACTCAGGGGAGAAGCCCTATGTTTGCAGGGAGTGTGGGCGAGGCTTTACATCGAAGTTCGTTCTTATCACACACCAGAGGACACATTCAGGGGAGAAGCCCTATGTTTGCAGGGAGTGTGGGAAAGGCTTTAAACAGAAGTCAAGTCTCATCACACACCAAAGGACACACTCAGGGGACAAGCCCTATGTTTGCAGGGAGTGTGGGCGAGGCTTTACATGGAAGTCACATCTCATCACACACCAGAGGGCACACTCAGGGGACAAGCCCTATGTTTGCAGGGTGTGTGGGCGAGGCTTTACACAGAAGTCACATCTCCTCAGACACCAGAGAACACACACTGGGGAGAAGCCCTATGTTTGCAGGGAGTGTGGGCAAGTCTTTACACAGAAGTCACATCTCATCACACACCAGAGGACACACTCAGGAGAGAAGCCCTATGTTTGCAGGGAGTGTGGGCGAGGCTTTACATGGAAGTCAGATCTCATCAGACACCAGAGGACACACTCTGGGGAGAAGCCCTATGTTTGCAGGGAGTGTGGGAAAGGCTTTAAACGGAAGTCAAGTCTCATCACACACCAAAGGACACACTCAGGGGAGAAGCCCTATGTCTGCAGAGAATGCAGGCGAGGCTTTACACGGAAGTCATATCTCATCACACACCAGAGGACACACTCAGGGGAGAAGCCCTATGTTTGCAGAGCTTGTGGGCGAGGCTTAACACGGAAGTCATATCTCATCACACACCAGAGGACACACTCAGGGGAGAGGCCCTATGTTTGCAGGGAGTGTGGGCGAGGCTTTACATGCAAATCAAGTCTCATCACACACCAGAGGGCACACTCAGGGGACAAGCCCTATGTTTGCAGGGAGTGTGGGCGAGGCTTTACATGGAAGTCACATCTCATCACACACCAGAGGGCACACTCAGGGGACAAGCCCTATGTTTGCAGGGTGTGTGGGCGAGGCTTTACACAGAAGTCACATCTCCTCAGACACCAGAGGACACACTCAGGAGGAGCCCTATGTTTGCAGGTGAAGTGAATGAATCATTACGGTTAAATCACATGTCAATAGCCCTCAGAAGTCTATAGAACCTTACTCTCCCCAAGATTGTAATTAGTACAGAAGTAACTGGTTAAACAAACCCTTCAGTTTCATGACAAGAGATGAGATGGACAAACAGTTCCATGAGTAATATGGGGATATCAGCATCAATATCTTTCATGGGTTTTTGATGGCCTTTTCTGAAAAGTTTTGTCTCCATACAAATATGAAGCCCGAGTCCCTCATTCCGCCATCACTGAAAGCAGAGAATTCAGAAAGAGACACCAAGAACTCATACTCTCAGCCACAGAAATTTAACCCCTACAAATGGGTAAGTCTGGAGCCAGTCTACTTTGGTTACTGCCCAGAGAGAGGGATTTGAGATAGACTCACCAGAGAAGGGAATTCCCCGGACTCCTGGGAAGTGGGGCCTTTTCTTCTAATCAGCTCCCTACCCTCCTCCCTTGGCTTGTCTTGGCTCTTCTCCTAGTTTCCTACAACCTCCGAAGCCTCAGAGGTGAACAGCACAGGGGGATGTATGCTAGTGCACGGGAGTGAGCCTGTCTCAATCTGAGCACCTAGTCTTTCTCACTCTCCTTGCTGCCCCTTCAGAGTCAGCATTTCCTGGTGCACAGCATGCATTGGTGTGTGAGGATAGATGGTAAGCGAAGGGAGGACAAGGAAGGACAAGGAAGACAAGGAAGGACAGGTCTTACCCACTAACTCAGCAGTCCTTAGCCTGGTCCAATTCTATTGCTAGATGGTGCAGCATCACAAGAAACTCCATGCTAACACATGGAATTTCTAGGTATCATTTCCACCATCTGGGAAAGAAAGGCTCTCAGACTTCATCCCAAGGCCTAGAAGATGGGAGAGGGTCCACAGCACTCAAGGAAGGACCCGTAAAACAAAATTGGCTAACCGTTTGCCTCTGTCAACTGTCTGTTTTATGAAGCGTCCCTAATGTTTACAGAAAGAGCCCATAGATAACTTTGGGTAACTGTTTTAACTTTAACTGTCTCCTGTCTCGTATGTATTTGACAAGATGACCAAATGGAGTCTGAAGCCAGATAAGGATTTGGGCTACCGACGCCCACACATACCTATGTTTGAGTAGTCTCATCCCCCATAGAAGCTGGCACCACTTTTACCTGTCAATCAATATGTAAGTTCTTTGCCCCCATCGCACCAACTATATAAGTTCTCAGGACAAAGGACCTGGTGCTCTTGCCATCCAACTTCTTGCCTTTCATTCCCATCTCAGCAAGACCTGTCCTCTTCCATGAGAACATATCACTAACAAATCCTGCTTGCACGCTAATACACTTGCTGATCTGTAATCCTTTAGTGCATTGGCAAGAAGAACCGAGTTTCTCCTGTGACAGGTGCACCCAGTCTGCATATGTCATTCATGAAGCCTGCAACACAGGAGCTTCCGTAATGCACTCTGTACCTGGGTCCCAAGGGCTGAATACACCACTGACACCATCTTGAAATTAGTACTTACTGTATCTTTACACTTTTCTTTGTGAGGTCAAGACTGATGAGATAATGGACATGCACAATGTTGGTCATTCCTGGCCACCCATTCACAAATAATGTCCACAATGGCCCAGGAGGACAAAATTCCAGTGGGCCTAATGGTGGGAGTCCAGCAAGACTGAAGGTGAGAATAGGGTAAACATCTGCATAAGCATAAGGAAGGGTGCTAGCCGCTACCAGAGATCACACTTTTCTTAGAACCAGAGCTGAGTTCAATACACAGAGATGGCAGTTAGTGAGGACCCCATCATACCCTCTCCTGCATGAGGGACACGACCTAAGCATGACCCACCCTATTACTGATGGAGAGGGTTCACCAAAGGGGGACACCCACCCCCATGACCAGGAACAATGACCTTTCTGTCCTCCCAGTGCCAGGCTTGTGAAGAAGAGTGTCTACATAAACTATGTGGATTTCAATAATAAATACCCACTATGATGTTCTTTTATGCTTTTTTAAAGGAAGGTGTATTTCTTGGGTTTTGTTTCCCTTCCCTGTTTCTCCCCCACCACCACAGCCCAGAAAGAACACCATAAACTCAATATTCTGTGGCTTTCAGCATGGGCCATGGGAGAGGGGCAGAGTCCTGGTGTAATGGCGGCAGAGGGGCTGGCATTGAATATAGTGGTAAGGGGAACCCACAGACTGCCACCTGATGCTCACCATCCCCAACACAGGGACAGACCCTGGAGTTCTCCCAGAAGGCTTAGTAATTCAAGATGAGTAGAGAGGTCTGTTCTCTCTCCCTCCCCTTCAGCAGCAAACCACATTCCTAGTGTAGCTGTCAGCCTCCAAGGTACCCACCAAATGCACATGCCCTTGTACACTCCCTCCTTCACATAACTGAGCTGATCTGTGTTATGAAAATGCTGTGTGGCTCTCAAAGCTAAGTGAGAAAGAGAGACTTTTATTTGAGCCTTGCTTGCATAATTCACAGAATCTTAGACCACCTTGTGCAGGGAGCTGGGTGTTTATGCACACGTACCCCTTGCCCACCTGGCAGTGGCTGGCAACCACCATCCTTGTTTTGAAGTGCAGGCTCCAAGAAGTGACTGCAGCCTGACATCTGAGGGATTCCAAGCCTCTTGCCCTTGCCCAGAAGCTGGTTGTCTAATGGGGAGGATGGTCCTTCTAGGTGGGTGCCTCAGGGCTTCCTCATCTGCTCTCTGGGTGGCACTGGGTGGATGAGCCAAACCTGCCTCTGATCCCCAGAGCAGAGTACTGCATGTCTGTCTGTAGAGCATGCCCATGTACAGCCCAATGGTTCAAGGTGACGAGTTATGTTCTGCAGTGACAGTTGGACTCACACTCACTGACAGCAACAGCCACCCTCCCGTCTCCAGCCTGACCATGTCCAGCAGAGGCCAGTACACATGCCGTGAACTGTGTTCACTGGTGGCTTGTGTGTCACTATGTTGGGCCGCAGTGTTGCCTGGGCCTGTGGTCCTCAGTCAGGTGGGCTCATTAGAACCCTCTGGACCTCACTGGGACACACCAACTGACTCTCTGTCCCAGGGTAGGGGCAGCCATCTCTGGCCTGGGCAGTGACTCAAATGGGAAAACAAGTAAAGCAGGCAGAGTCCGTGACAAACTCCGAATGTGGCTGCTCTGGGGTCAGGAGAGAGACTCTGACTCAAACCACAAATTCCCATCACAGTGGCGTCGAGGATAGGCACAGGCATCCTTCCTGTGACAGTCCAGCCACTGTGACGCGTGAGCCTCCCTGTGGTCGGTGCTTCTCCAGACAGCAGCCAGACCAGATCTCAGGTCTCTGCTCAGGGCCTTGGCTGACCAACACGAAACATCAGTTATAGGTTACTGAGCAGCGTGTGCAGCATGTTTTACCTGAATGGTCTCAAGTCTATGAGGCAGAAGCACCTTCAGCCACGTGCCCGGAAATGTTAGCAAGATGGATCAAGAGCACAACTGCACTACGGCTCTGGCACACAGTCCAGGCCCAGAGGCCCGGCTGCCAGGCAGCCCAGCAGCAGCACCAGGCACACAGCTTCAGCTGTCTTTCTGCTCTGTCTTCCTGGGCCTGAGTTTTGTCCTCCTGGTAGCAAGGGGCCCCTGCCCTGCCAGCATCACACTCATCTCATCCCAGAGACTGGAAGGTAGGAGAGCGGAAGTCAGTTTCTTTTGAACTGGGAGGCCGCTACTGCTGGGCTTGTTATAGTTGGGAAGCCCTCCCCACTCTGGATGAAGCTGTAGTTTATATCCTTTGATCCCAAGACAGAGATGCCAGGACACAGACAGAGAATGGCAGGAGTTTGTACCCTTGTTCCAGTGATGGAAATGTGAAAGCACATCTGGACACAACTTTCTCGTCTAAATGGTCCCGAGCAATAAACCCAGCTCTGCCCCCAAGATGATGAACAGATGTCGGGGTCTCACCTGGGGCTGTTGGGCATTCCAGCTGGACTCTACTTAAGATTGCACAAGCCTGGCTCAGGATGGAGAAATTTACTCCCCTCAGAAACACAGACAAAGGGACTGTGACAGGAAGGTAGTGGTGGTGGTAGGGGGGACTGGCAGCAGAGGACACTCCAGGCCTGACTTCTGGCTCCACTCCCAGCCCTGCAGGGCTGACAGCCAGACTCAGGGCCTGAGGGTGTGCAGTCTTGGCACAGCTTCTCACAGCCACTGTGGCCTCCTCCTCCTGCCAGTGGCGTACCTGGGATCAGGGCTGTGAGGTGTTCGGCCCCTGCTGGAGGATCAGTGCTCCTTGCCTGACTGGACTCTGGGTCTTGGGATGGGATGAAGCTGACTGTCAGCCAGGAGCCTGTGAGAAGCCACCCAGCCCCTGATCCCTGGCTCCCAGCCCTACCCCTGCCAATGCCCTGACTGTGGGTTCTCTCTGCCAAGCATCTCACTTGGGTGTATTGGTATTTTTTTTCCTTGTAAATATCATTTGTATAACTCTGAGGCAGGAGATAGTCAGGAAGGAGGAAACTCTGGAGGTGCCCCAGGGCTGAGATAAAGGACATCCATACAGGACAGAGACCCTGTTCTAAGACGGGTTGTTCGTGCTTTCTGGAAAAGCACTGAATCATGGTGACCCATGAATGCTCCTGCACAGAAGATGCTACATGACCCCTGCTTCATCATAATAACATTATAATATGTTAATATTGTGTAACCCCCTTCTCCAATGTCCAATCAAGGAAAATCATGGGAGACCACATGCGCAATAAAATCCCACCAAAACTAGCCAGGAAATATCTGCCCTATAAGAACAGAATCACTCCAGCCTCTGAGGTCAATCTCTGCTCAGAGTTAGACCACTCCCATGTTCTGTGGAGTGTATTATCACTTACTAAATCTGCTCTCTCTGTCTGCTATAAACTCTGTGTGTTCAGTTCAATTCTTTGTGCACGATCACCAACAACCTGCTTACCTGTGCCTACCTGTAACAACTCTGAATGTCCATGGTTATAATTCTGGACTACAAAGAGCAAAAATGAATTATACAAATTGAAAAAATTAACCATATTGTGCTCTTTGTTGGAACCTACAAGCAAGTTCCAACAAATTTCAATTCAGTGAAATTATATAGGGTATGTTACTTGCTCTCATTGCTAATAATGTAGAAATTCGAAACAAGGGTACTAGAAAATCCTTTTATTTGTATGTTATAAAATACACTTCTAAATAACCCCCAAAACAAATCACAATTGGAGTTAGAACTAACTTAAACTGGGTGATAATAAAAATACTACGTACCAAAGCCAGATCACTAAGGTTCCACAAACAGTTGTCAGTGGTTCTCAAGCACAAGTGATTTTGCCCTCAGGGGAACATTACATAAAGCAGGGACACATTTTAGATTGTCATGAAGGTGGAGGTGAGGGAGAGTGTTATTGACCAGGAGTAAATGGAGGTAATGCATGCTAACAAGCACCTACAATGCAGCAGAGAAAAAAAAAAAAACAGGAGAAAGAATTATTGGCCCAAAAGGTCATCAGTACTGTTACTAGGGAGTAACAAGTGAGGGGAGTTAGGGGGATTCCTCTCCTCGGTTCTTGTCCTGCCTGAAAGAATGGATTCAGGCAAGGGACAACAAGCACAGTGAAAGTGAGGTAGCAGGTTTATTTGTGACATGCACTTGACAGGAACCTGCAAGCTTGCCCCCAGCTAGTCTGAGTGCCCCACCTGCTGGGGTTTCAGGGCTTTCATGTTTACAGCGAGCCTCCAGGCTTCCCCTCCACAGCCCTTCTCCCAGCCCTTCTCCCGACCTTGGGATTAACATACAGTTTCAAAGGCTTCCTTTCCCAATAGAGAAAATGGTACATAGAATTTCAAAGGCTCCCCTCCAGCTGCTGGTGCGCTCATCCTGGTCTCTCTTGTGATTGTGGAACCTCTGAAAACCTTACCTGACCCCACTTAGGACTGCTGAAATACTGAGTGGTATGTGGCCCCTTCCCCTCCCCACCTTGGTTTGCTACCTATCCTGCTTAGCAGTGCTGAGAATGAGAAGCCCTGCTCTACATGGACCTCAATGAGGAGTCCAGGAGAATGGACACCGCACATCACTTTGCTCCCTAGATGTGAAACAATGCTTCTCTCTTTGCACAGACAGGACACAAACTGAGACCTAAAGAACAACAACAACACCCACAAAAGTTCACCATCTTGCAAAGATTGGCGAGTGTCCTAGGCTGAAAAGACACCCTCAAAATCTCAGGAAGCAAAAATGGTCTGACACCTTAGAGACAGAACCACACTGTGATACACCATGGCAGACATCTGAGGGTCACTGCTTCTTCTCACTGCCCATACATCACTCTTCAATAGCTCTCCTATAATGCAACTAGAATCAATAATCTTAGTCTTTTAGTTCCCAGAATTCACCATTTTGAAATTTACCTTTTGAAAATGTAGATAATTGCTGTATTATAAATTCCTTAGATTACCTACAAGGGGCACAATTTCACCTGTAAGATACTTCTCTGATTTCAAAGTACTAGAACACCATGCATCTAGGCCATAACTCATTTAAAATGCTAAGAATGCTTTTACTAATTTCTTTAGTCACTAATAAACTTACAACTAACAAAAATAATTTTTCTAACCCTTCACATTATCTTCTTTCTTCGTGTTTTCTGCCAAGCTTTAGCTACTTTTCTGTTATACATAACTAAAATAATGTGGTAATTATTATTACATGATAGCTTACTTACCTTGAAAATCATTAGAATTCATTTTTACATTATTACAAATAATAGAATTAAGTAATGTGTAGGGCAAATTGCATGCATAATTAAATATCCTTTATATACAAAAGAGTAAGTTAAAGATATAATTTTTAAAAACACCCAATAGCAACAAAACTGGTGAAATGCCTGGGAATGAACTTAACAAGAATGTGTAAGATCAGTATGAACGAATTCATAACATGCTACCCAATAAAAAACACCTGAACAACACCTACTGGGGTAGCTCAGTGGTTTGGGTGCCGTGCTGCAGATCTAAAGGTCACCAGTTCAATTTCCGGTCAGGGCACATGCCTGGGTTGACGGTTCGCTCTCCAGCTGAGGGCGTGTGAGACTCAACTGATTGATATCTCTCCCTCTCTCTCTCTCTCTCTCTCTCTCTCTCTCTCTCTCTCTCTCTCTCCCCCCTCTCTGACCCTCCCTCCCATTTCCTTTCTCTAAAAATAAATAAAACCTTTTGTTTGAAAAGACACTTGAACAACAGGAAAGCAACAGCA